AAACATATTTTCAAATTGATGAAATAAATTTGGATACGACAAGATGTACACGAGACATACTAGAACGTTATCACGTATAAATAGGAATTGGTACATAGACTGATTTACGACAATGAGAGTTACCATGAAGATGAATGAAGAAAGGTTTCGACATAAGGTCGATGAATGACGAACTACTGTACAACCGATCGACAGTATTCCTCCTAAATGATGACAAATCCTATATCTTGAAAATCTTGGACCACTAAAAATACCTTTGACGTATTTTCGAATCATTGTTGAATTATGTGAACGATACGAAGATATCTCAAAGTGAAATTTACGTTATGATGTGTGAATTGAAGACAAACTCCAAAAAAAAATCTCCCACTACATCTATCGCGAACTTGATAATTTGTAACTGCAAAGGCTACTGAAGGACTTTCAATCAAAAGAAGAAATATCGCTAACCAACGTTGTACAATTGGGAATTGTGAATAAATGAAGTTATGTCCGAGTATGTCAAATATACGACCGTATACATTGCAAGAAAACCTTAGTAGTTGACATAGGAGGATCACTGAATGTCATGCTTAATTAAAGACTGTTAATCTCTTGAAGAAAGAACGAGTTTTATAACAACGACAATTTGAGAATACATATCCGTTTGGATAATGACGTGAATATGATTTAACTAAATGAACATGACACGGTCATAATTAAGTATGATCACTACGAAATTTTGAACGTTGAGCCTTAGAAGAATTTCGAGGACGAAATTCCTTTAAGGGGGGAAGAAATGTAACGCCCCAAAACATACCCTTGAATTATTAATGAATAATTAATTAATTAATCAAATTGTTTTGATTTAAATAAATTGTTGTTGGGCTTTGGGCCGAAATAAAATGTGTTTTGATATCCAATATCACAATCAGGATAAATCTCATAGAGATAAAACCAATTAGTTGACTATTTGTGTGATTTTGATTGGAAACCTGTGTAAAGACCCAAATTAAGAATAAATGAAGAAATTGTTTTATAATGTGAACTTTGAAATGATTTATTGAAATAAATCATGGAAATAAATAATATGAATTGAATATGAGCACCTTTTTGAGTAAAGGTCAAACAAATCAATTTTGACTCTATCAAAGTCAACTACCCAAAAATATGGTGTCGGAAAAAGTATAAAGAATAAATATAAAAATTATATTGTTGGATAGAGTTTAATTGCACGATCACAACGGTACAAACGAAATTCAATTCGGAGAAAGTTGGACCAAAAAGTGTACCCCGACTGGAACCAAAATTAGTCCCAATCAGGGACGGCGCCTCCTACTCCACTCAGCCGATAGAATATACGTTCCTACGCAATTCCTACGCAGCATTGTTGGGTTTCTTCCTCCATTCCTTCCCTATATAAGACCACCTTCACTCCCTCAATTTTTCATCATTTCTCATAATCCTCATATCAAATCTGTTGCTGGGAGTGAGGAGAACGCAGTGGTGCTATCATATTGGTGAAAGGTCGCCGGAATTGGGAGTAATCATCGCCGGAAGTTTCGCCATAAAATATTCAAAACCTTCATTAAGCTTCGAGGTAAGCCCGTAGATATATCTAATGACTAGAATGTTCGTATAGATCGTTTCTACGTTCATAAACGGTCGTTTGGTTGAGTTTTGTGTTTGACATGCTTGAAGAACCAAGAATCATAAACCATGAAATTGATGTTAAAACTATGAATTAATGATGCCAAAATGATCTATGAACCTTGTAGAACATCTCTATATAGTTTCGTCGAAGTTCAATAACTAAAAACGATATTTCCGAAATTGGACCCGAACGAAGAAGAAGATGAACAGTGGCTAAAACACCATTGTCTGGATCGATCCAAGGGCTTGGATCGATCCCCTGGGAGTGATTTTTCATAGTTTGGATCGATCCAGAGGGCTGGATCGATCCCCCGAAGTTCTGATCCGAAAATTTGTATGAAAATGTTATTTTTGAGTTCTAAAATCCTATTTTTTATACCAATTGATTATGATCATTATAAAAATGATTTACCACAATAAAAATGATGTTTTTAACAAATAAAAATGTTATGTGATGCATGACGGTAAGTTCAGGTGTTAACACTCGAAGCTAGGCCGCTAATTGTTGTTTAATATTATGTTGATTGATGATTATGGTAATAATTATTGGTTGATGATTATGATGATTAAATCTTGATAATTGTTCTGATTAAAAATGAAAATTATGAATGATTAAATCATAATGAATATATTGATGATTGTGAAAATAATATGTGTTGTTAAGGGTATCTAGAAGACCTCTAAGATATACCCATATTAATGTTGATTTGAAAGGTATCTAGAAGAACTCTAAGATATAACTATATAAGTTAGGCCTTGCGGGTATGATGCCCGGTGGCTAGGGTTAAAACGTACGTACGGGATCCAAGAACCAAACTTGAGTACCTACTCGTTTGGGGGTACCACCCACCCAACAGTGAACAGTACACTGTCGGTTTTTGGTTGGCCTTAAGTGAAGAGAAGTTTAAGATTTCCAAAACCCTTTTATCTTAAACTAGGCCTAGCTTAAGGATTATTAGGAGTACTCTGTATACTGAAATATAGTTTAATTAGTTAAACTAGAATTCATTTAAGGGTTACAAATATTAAAATGATTGGCCTTAGACTAAGAATAGTTTAAGGATATTGTTGAATGACAAATGAAGAACATACATGTTGAACGATTGAATAATGAATGTTGAAAATTGAATATTGATTATTGAATATCTGAATGAACATTATGTGCATGATATCAAATGATTTGATTGTGAATTGAGATACAATCACAATTAAAGAATTGTGATTGTATGTTTTATTTGTTACACGCAGGTTAATAGAAAGAATGATGTGACGTGATCCTGGAGGCGGACGGAGGCAAGACTGTCAGAATGGATGTGATGTTTTGAATTAAAGAACATAAATAAATTATGTTTGTAATTATGATTTGTTAAGCTTCCGCAATATTGAAAACTCCGTACTGTTTATGATATGAAAATATTATTGTGATAAATAAAAGTTTTTGAAATGTTTTAAATTTTACGATTACCAAGTTAATACTTTAGTCTGAAAGGGGCTGCAGACCTGGACGGAATAGGGTGTTACATGGTGAGCTTTCCCATACAGCTTGGTGAGCTTTGTATTTGTCCTTGGGTAGCTTTGCAGTTGGCAGTGGTGAGCTTTGCGTCATCTGACCGTAGCATGTCATCTTACCGTAATGTGTCATCTGACTAGAGACAATCCCTATATATACTAGTGTTTTAACCCGTGTCATGCACGGGTGAAACGAAATTTTTATATATTCTATAATTTTTTATTAAAGACAATGTTCTTTTAGATTCTGACTTTTAGTATTCATATAGATGAATGTCCATTTTCTTTGTAATTGCTTGAATCCTCTAATTCTACGAACAAAGCAAAAATCTACTCTCATCCCATGTGCCTACCTTAGACCTTATAAAACTACCTTAAACCTTATAAAACAAAGCTCTATATTAGAGATTTGATACCTATTGTGTGTGAAAATAATACTCCCTCCGTCCCGTTATATTCGCCCACTTTTGACTTTTGGAACTGTTCATCTAAGCATTTTGACTCATCAAATTCTCCCAATGTGTAAGCCTAAATATAGTCATGTGTGATCTTGTTTGATTTGTCTTAATATATAGATTATTAATATATAATTTCTATAATTTTTAATATACAAATTACAAGATAAAATGGATTTAAAAAGTGTATAGGATGGTGTGTGAAAATGAAAGTGGACAAATACTCTAGGACGGAAGTAGTATAATTTTGTCACCTCTATTTTTTTTAAAATATTTGATCTCGTCTTTAAATATGTATTTTTTTATTATTTAACTTTACACGAATCATCATATCAAGTGAATTAAAACTAATTTTATTCAAACGTCGTAACGAAGAAAAGTTGTGGATGAAGAGATTATTTATTTAAAAAATAATACACTAATAAGCATTTCCGTAAAAATAATTAAAATTTGATACTTTAAATTCTAAAAATATTTTTAAAAACAAATTTTAAATGATAATTCAAGATATATAATAACATAATTTATACTCCATCCGTCCCAAATTATTTGTCACATTTGCTTTTTCAACAATCGCGTAAACTTTTGTTTATTTCTACGTTTTCATTGCTTATTTGATAAAATAAAATATTCTTGACACCCCTTATTTCGAACAATTTTTCATGTAGTTTTTTAATATGTAATTTTTATTTTTTATTTTTTTACCAATATGTAAATAAAATGAATTGAAAAAACTTTATTTTTCCGTAAATTTAAAATTTAAAATTTTAAATTTAAAATTTTAAAT